CAGATGTGAGAGTCTACGTCCCTGATGTAGGACTAGTTAATACTAGTCCGAGACTGTGCGCGAAATTAAGCGCGGATATCAGAAGGCAGTTGGAGTCGGACACAGCGGACTGTATTCGATGGGCTGCAATAAGAAACGGACGGATGAAGCGAGGCGAAAGCGTACATGCGAGCGCGGGAACTTACAAGGCTGTTGTGTGTCGAGCCAGTTGTAAGATTAAAACAAGCAGGGGTAATGTACAATCGGTCAACCATTAAATTGTACATAAAAGATAGCAGTTATCTTTTAGGGCGCTACAAAGCTCCCACCTAGAAGGCTGAAGATAGAAGGCCTTCGAAATTGAAGAGGCTTGTTGAAACGAGGTTCGTAAGGTAAAATCGTGCCAAGGAAAAATGAGGGAGTGTTCGTGTAAATGGGGTTCGCCAGGAGTCGGAGTCCGCTGTGCCGTTTGTGATTTGTTATTTATTGATTACAGGGCAGGGTGCATTTCGGCGAGCCTTTGGAACGGGCTTGTCGGACTACAAGATCTGGCTAGTCCAGGAAAAGGCCGGCAGGACCACAACATCCGCTGCTGCCAAACGGTGCGCTTGGGAGTAGTCTCTCCCCCGCCGCACCCCGCCCTTCGCCAAAACAACCCTCGTCCTACGAAGTAAACGACCATGGTCCATGGAGAAGCGACCCTCGTCCCGCGAAGAAGCGACATTCGTCCCGCGGAGAAACAACACTCGTCCTGCGGAGAAACGAGCAGCGTTCGCGTCAGGGTCCTCGAAAACATTCCTCGTGTGGGCCAGTCGTTCGAAGAGGAGGGTTGGGGCATGTAGAGACGCGAAAATAGAAAAACGCGCAGAAAACGCCGAAAAGAACAAGCGAATGATCTGCATGTTTAAATATTTCGTTTTTTGAATATTTTTTAAAAGGTTTTTCGGAGGTTTTTGATATTTTTGTTTGTTTTCAAAACGTTCATCGACCAAAAGCGGGGCGAATATATACAATATCTACAAAGTTAAAAGTATTTGCTCTGCACATAGTCGGAGAAACGAACGGGCTTACGCACCTCCCGACAACGGCGATTGGTCGTGGGAGGCGGCGGACTAGGTTCGGGAGATGTCGGGACTGCTGAAGCTTGTATACCGTGATCGTGATCTGGTTGGACTTCATTAGCATGCGGAAAACTGGTGCGGTGAGTTGTGAGATCTCACGAAGCACTACTACCCGAAGTAGGCGAGGGGTTTTCTTCCATAAAGGCGGGTTTTAGACGGTCGAGGGTGACGAATTCGTGTCGACCACCGCGGTCAATAGTGTACGCCTTACTCGCACGATGCAGCACCTTGAAGGGTCCTATGTACGGCGACTGAAGAGGCTGTCGAACACCGTCTGCTCGAAGAAGGACGTGTGAACACGTCGCGCACGTACACTGGTATCTTCTGCGATCGAGGAGCGGGTGGACCTAGCTCACGCATCTGGTGCGCCAATCGATAAGTGTAACTTCGTAGTCAAAAGTGGAAGTACATGGGGCTGGTGCTACCAGCTGTCCGGGCAACCGCAGCGTGCAACCGTAGACTAGCTGCGCTGGTGTGGCATTAAAATCGGATTTAACCGTGTTTCCTAAGCCTAGGAGAACGAGGGGAAGCGTTTCAGACTATGAAGGATCTGCGTGCGCACGTAGCGCTGCCTTCAACTGGCGGTGAAATCGCTCCAGCATGCCGTTAGCGGCCGGATGATACGCCGTCGCCTGGAAGTGGCGACAGCCTAAACCCTTAAGCGACATGGCAAATGTCGACGAGAAATGTGACCCCCGATCGGTGGCCACGATGGCGGGACAGCCGTACTGAGCTACCCAGCGCTCCATAAAAGCTTTTGCTACCGTTTCCGAGGAGCAATTGGGATAGGAACGGCCTCACGCAATCTAGTAAATCGATTGATGCAGGTCAGTAGATATACGTAGCCTTTGGAAGGGGGCAGAGGACCCACGAGGTCGACGTGCACGTGATGAAAACTAGCGTCCCGCGTCGGAAACGTGCCTAATGGGCTTCTCGTGTGCTTGTGCACCTTCGCGCGTTGACGCGGAAGGCAAGCAACTGCCCAAGTATGTAGGTCCAGATTAACATTGCGCCAAACGAATCGTGCGGTTACGAGTTTAACCGAGGCACGAACGTCTGGATGAGACAAGCCGTGCGGCGTGTCGAACGCGGTCTGCCGAAACTCGCGTGGGACGACTGGGCGCGGCGTGCCCAGAGATAAATCTCATAGTTCCGTCTGATGATGTCAGCGGAACGGGTCGTATGTCCAATGAGGGAGACCTGCGTAGTAGATCAAACTCAGGGTCGTTGAGTTGCGCTGTGGCCATGGCTGTCAAGTCGATAGCAGTGCCGGCGTCAGCGGAAATAGCTTGGATGCGGGAAAGTGCATAGGCGACGGCGTTGTGCACACCTGAGCCATGCCGTATATCGGTCGTAGACTGAGCGCTATAGTCAAGGTGGCGCGACTCTCTAGGAGAGTATCGGTCGGTAATCGAGTCGAGCACGTAAGTCAGGGGTTTGTGGTCAGTGAAGACGACAAAGGAGCGGCCTTCTAGGAGGTGTCGAAAGTGACGTATCGCTAGATATACGGCTAGTAGTTCTCTACCGAACGCGCTGTAGCGAGATTCCGTAGGTTGTAGGCGTTTGGAGAAAAGCGCCAAGGGTTGTCACGTGTTGGCTACTCGTTGCTGCAAAACAGCGCCAACTGTCACGTCCGAGGCATCAGTACTGATGGACAGTGGGGCGGCCGGATGGTGATGCGCTATAGAAATTATGTTGGCAATAGCCTCTTTCAGCGACTTAAAAGCAGCGTGATGCGGCAGGAACTTCGAATTTCTTGATTTTCCCTCGGAGAAGGTTCGTGAGGTGTTGCACCAGCGAGGCGCAGTTGGGTACGAATCGTCGGTAAAAGTTAACAAGTCCATCAAAACGCCTGAGCTGTTTGAAAGAATGAGGCTCGGGTAGTCTATGATGGCTTGAATTTTATCCTGCAGTGGCACCACGCCTACAGATGAGATCCGATGGCCGAGGAAGCTGACTGAATCGACACCAAACGAACACGGTACTGCGTTGACCGTCATCCCGTGTTGAGATAAACGATCAAAAATTGTTCGTACTTGGCGCATGTGCTCTTCTCGTGAAGTGCTTGCGATTAAAATGTCATAGAGCTACACGTAAACGAAGTCTAAACCGCGAAAAACTTGGTCGATGAAACGCTGAAAAGTTTGCGCGGCGTTCTTTAGACCAAATGGCATGCGCAAAAACTTGAACAAACCAAATGGAGTCGTCACGGCGGTTTTGGCGATGTCCGCTACGACTACTGGAATTTGGTTGTATGCGCGTACCAAGTCAATTTTGCTGAAGATAGTTTTACCTGCCAGACTGGCGGTGAGCTCCACTATGTGTGGGATCGGGCAGCGATCAGGCGTGGTAACCGTATTCAGGGTTCGACAGTCGCCTCATGGACGCCAGTCCACCACGACGTTCTTCGGGACCATGTGCATTGGCGACGCCCATGCGCTGTTGGACGGTCTAACGATACCGTGCTGAAGCATGTGGTCGAATTCAGCTCGTGTTGCACGTAGTTTGTCAGGAGCAAGCCGTCCTGATCGTGCGCTAACTGGCTGACCAGGCGTGACTATGTGATGAGCGACCTCTGTCATGACTGGCGGAAGCTGTGCAGCTGGTCGTATCAGTCGCGGGTATTCAGGCAGTAGGTTCGCATATTCTGATGATACCTCGGCTTTTCGAGAAGCGACTGATTATCGGGGCGTCCGTAAAAACGCCTTTAACCCCTAGTTTAGTACGGTCGTCTAAAAGTCTGTGGCGACCAGCATCAACAAGCAACTCAAAATGTCGAAGGAAGTCGATCCCGATAATTGCGAAGGGTACAGACGCAACCATGAAGACCCACAGAAAATCTCGGCGAAGATTGAGGTCTAGGTTCATCATGCGCTGACCGAATGAAGCTATCGGAGAACCGTTGGCCGCACGCAAGTTGTACGTAGGCTCTGAGTGCTTGTTGTTAGCGGTCGCCGGGATGACGCTGACTTCCGCTCCAGTATCGATGAGGAATGTGATGGAAGAACGTCGATCCTTAACGTAAAACAGTCGGTTTGCTTGGTTATTGAATGATACGTTTGTCCTGCTAGTATGCGGACTATTCGTTTTCCCTGAAGCAGCTGGGTCGTGCTTAGTGCAGGGAGCCCGACAACGTCTAGCTCTTCCAACGTATTGTCGGTGATACCAACATACTTCTTCGACGTGTTTGACATTATCTGACTGAGAACTTATAGGGAAAATGTTGCGCTTTCGTGCCGAATGTGACGTACTCGGTGCAGGCACAGATGAGCCGCAATGAACGGTAGCCAAAACGTGGTCAGCATTTGACCGTGGCACACGCTGCTTTGAAGCCTTCATTGCTGTTATCCTGCTACGAAGTAGCGCAATTTCCTCGTCTTTAGAGTCAGATCGGTCCAGCGATTGGGAACAAACATGAGATTCGGTTTTCATCGGTGAGAATACGTCACCGGAGCTACTGGTCTTCTGCTACGGTAGACGTTCGAACGCAGAGTCTGCCTTGGTAGCTAATTCTTTCAAGGGCGTATCTACAAACATGGACAACATTACCGGCAATGGCTCTGGGAGACGTGCAAAACACAGCTCCTTTAGCACTTCTTCGCTCAAGAATAAGGGACCAGCGATGCGCTGAAGTTCGCGGAGCAATGCCGACGGCTTGCAATCCCTAAGCTTGAGACCATTGAGGTGCTCAAATCGAGTTCGTGCGCTGGGCCGTAACTCTTTTAAAATCTCTTGCTTCATCGTTTCATACTTTGCCTTACTCGATGGGCAGAGTAGAGTGTTCTCAAGCTGCATCACAACCGACGGAGGAAGGCATGGGACGAGCTGATTGATCATCGGACGGTCCGCGGTAATGCCCTTATTTTCCAGTTCGATCTCGAATGTCTTAAACCAAACCTCTGGGCTTTGTTCCATGAAAATTGGAACAGCCAAAGTAGGCATGTTTACGCTGTGAAATGACTCAGCTGCCACTCTCGAAATGTGAGTCGAAAGATAAAGAATGAACAAACCACGAGAAAAGTACTAAAATTACGCAAGAAACAAATGAATATAGGTATATAATCGAGAAAAAGGAACGAACTCACAAAAAATACAAATGAGGAAAAAAACGTGGAATTCGCGCGTGCGAATCGAGGTAACCAATTTGTAGGACTAGTTAATACTAGTCCGAGACGATGCGCGGATATCAGAAGGCAGTTGGAGTCGGACACAGCGGACTGTATTCGATGGGCTACAATAAGAAACGGACGGATGAAGCGAGGCGAGAGCGTACACGTGAGCGCGGGAACTTACAAGGCTGTTGTGTGTCGAGCCGGTTGTAAGATTAAAACAAGCAGGAGTAATGTACAATCGGTCAACCATTAAATTGTACATGAAAGATAGCAGTTATCTTTTAGGGCGCTACACTGGAAATCGTCGGACCGGGATTCTAACCAATCTGTTATGGGCATAATATGGTGAGGATTGTTTGGTAAACCCGACTAAAAGTTGATTAGATTATCAGTGAAGGTCAAAATGTATAAAAGGAAGATGTACGTGGAAAATACGTCTGCGTGCTGATATAACTGGATGGCAAATATAACTACTCTGTGGTTCTCCAAGTGGATAACACTGGACAATGAATCGCTGCGCCCCCGCCTTAGAAGCGGTCATCATGGCGGATGATATGGCTACTTTTTAGCGTTTGTTGTGTGCCTTTTCCCTTAAATTTGCTGACATGGAGAAGTACGTGAAGAAATATTAAGTAGCAGCTGCGCTGTAATCCTACAAACGGCAAATGTTGACTAATTTTGCCCTCAAAATTGACTGGTAAATATCTTCCTTACGGGCAGGGTGAAATTTTAACTCGGTTCCAGTAGTTTTAGGATCACTGTCATCATGACGAAATTTTTTTGACCTACCATCAAACGCTTACATTATCCCGTCGGTGAGCCACGTGGAAAAGCATCGTTCCATGTCTCTTTTTGGTGTTTTTCCCGCAAACATTGGAGGACATTAAACGAGCTCTGGGAGAAATGTGGTTTGCCATGTTCCCCGTTTAATTGTGTTTACTCACTTCAGCCGCTAACCACATGAAAGATGCGTATGCAAACACATGAACATACAGTGACCTGATTGACATTCTTTCTTTTTCTAGTATAAGCAAGGATAGATTAACACGTTGATGTGCTGGGAACTGTTCTCGCTTATTGGAACACGAAACGGGACACTGGTTAAGCTAAAGCGTATTTTGTCGCTGGATCCTCAGTCTTGAACATGTGAGGTTTCTAAAGCCTTGGATGGGTACTAGTCTTCTGATCACTGGACGTTAACCAAGTACTCGTCGCTTGCGCGGTATGAATCTTTTGCAGAAGGTGCATTTATGTTGACTTCTTGTCAGTTGCTGCTTTAGGTGAAACTTGTCCGTGTGCCCTCGGTTTCTTGGTTGTTGCGCCTCTACTCTTTCGCAAAGAACCTGTCGTCACATACTTGGAGTTTACGTTGAATTTGTTTCGCCCGTTACGATTTGGTGAATCCATTTCATTACATACGTAGATACTTGGTATTTCCGACTAGTCCTTTCGTCGAATACATATTTGGTCATGGTAAACGGGTTCACAACTATTGCTTATCGCTTATCTATTTGATTTTCTAACTCTTCTGTCGAGATGGTTGTGGATGCAGTCCTAACTCTTCGTGTCCTTCCGACTAATGGTTTGTCATATATGGCAAAGCTGAGTATCTCAGAGCGGTTGCAGACTTGACCGGGGCCTGCAATTCGGTAGTTGTTGCCGTCGGTTCCTAATGGAGTGTACCGGTTTGCATCAGATGCAGTTGGAACTTATGGCTAATAGAGAGTGCATACCGCACAGTTGCATTGCCTGCTGTGTGCGTCGCACTGAGCCTTTTACATCAGTAGTTAGCAGTCCGATGTCTCTGGAGAGCCTGATGTCTGCTGTGGTCGCTGGACGGAAAATTTGGTCGGTTTGTTAACCTTCTGGACTGCTTAGTTCTCCGTCAGGAGGCAGTGGAAGGTAAAATTTCCGGACTCTGCGTTTGTTTGCTCACCATCTACTCTCTACCCAACTTACTAGCAGCACGATTGGCAACAAACACTTATACCGTGGTTGATTCGTCTGTTAGCCAGAGAGACATTTAGGGCTTCTGCTCTTGTCAAAGTAAAGCGGAAGAGAGCTAAAAAGTTGCAAAACCCAAGGCGGATGTACCATGTCCGGCGGGTGCCGTATCCCCATTCCCCTCCATTTCTACTGCAGTTGTGTCATCCAAGGTTGATTCGTTTACGACATTGGAGTCTAAAAAATCGGAAGCTACTGCAAACCCGCCAACGTCAACAGAGCGTTTGATAAGTACTCCGCCTTGTTCAATTTCGTATACTAATTGCAGCGCTATTTGCAGTATCGCCACGAAGTCATGCTGTCCTTCTAAAGGAGCATATGCTAGATGATCTTCATTTATTTAAGATATGCGTTAATAAACTTTAATGCTGGGCTTTTCCGGCGTCCTTACGAAAACTCAGCAGACTGCGCAGTTTGTCGACTGAGAATGCTGTTGTGTGTTGCTCGGTCACCTCCAAAGGTACACCAAGCTTTTCTACTTTTTGCCTTTAAGCTCAAAGGCACTGGTGTCATGCTAAATTAGATCTCGCTTTAACGGAGACTTTGAAATGACAGGTGGCTGTGCTATATTGAATCCCGTCGTGAAGCCGGAGAAAAGATCTCTTAGTTGGGTTTCGGGCGGTGAGCCGGCGGTGCACTTCCTGCCAAAACCGGTTCCGATGGCGCACAATCCCTGGCTCACGATACCGAAAACGTAAAGGTGATATTCAATAATTCGTGTGTCCTACGAAACAAGCTCTACCAAGTCTTCGTCTTAGTTGACAACTGCGGTGTATGTGTTCATGCTTTCACTGATGCACGGTTGTCCACCGAGGTCACGCAGACTGAAGGGTTTATCGGGCTACGCACTACTGTAGTATGTGCGCTCTCACAATGGAGCTGGACCATACCGTGGTGCGATGGTTTGCGCGCTTCAGAAATCCATTGGGCCATGTTGGGTAGTGCTTTTGTATCTTCAACGCCATTCATACCAGCTTGGTCAATGTTTTGGTGGCCAGCCAAACGCAGCCTCCAGGTTAGGGGTTGGAATGAGGCAGCTCATTATTCCTTAAAGCGGACTCCTTGTTGTAACCCAACTCCGAACCCGCTGCTTTGCGGTCAGGATTTTGAACCGAAGGCTTTGGTTGAGAACCCTAATCGTTCTCCTGTCTAGACCTGGGCAACCTGAGAGTACCATACCCACGCAATACAATGAATAGCTCTTCAACCAGTTTCCTGAATCTCTGGGCACCGCAGAGAATAATCAACTGCGCCCTTTCTGCTGCATCGAGCAAGGTGGATAGGGGTTTGGATGTTACCGCTCAAACCTACCCACTTGTCATGCCCCCTCTTACGCTTTCTCACACTTACCGTCCCGTTCCAGCTTCACTTATATTCCCCCAGTTTTTAATCCTCAATTCTTCATCATTATATCATTATACACATTAGCTAGAGGTGAGAAATACATCAGCTACCGTACCGCAATACATAAAGGAAAATGGAAGATAAATACAATAGTTGCAAGCCAGCTGAGTTACCAGCAACGGATAAGCATCGTTCCGGTAAGCTACCGGCCAGCTACTAGGCAACAAGAAAATTTATTATGTTTTACGCTACAAAATGAGGTCGTAGGTGGAGGGGGACGCTAAAGGGGATGGGGAGGGACAAAGAAACTCACAGCAGGAACGCCACTGAGGTCGACTCCTTTCCATGTCAGCAAGTGAGTCCAGCCAAACGTGTGCAACATCTTTTGGACCCAACGAGGGAGCCGTGGCTCCTCAGCGGAGGCCAGCTCAGAAGTGAGGGCCTACATTCATCTGGACCAAGTCATCGCTTGTCCACCCCTCCTCTTCTTCCATCCGCGTCCCCGGTGAGCAAACAACGCACTTCGTAGAAGTCGCTGGGCTAGCATGCGCAACACGTGGCCCAGCCATCCAAGCCTGGTGCGTGAAATGACGGCGCTGAGCGGTTCAATTCCTTTTCCTGTGCCGTAAACAAGGCGTTGAACATGCTTGTTAGTCACGCGGGGTTACCACCAGATGTGAGCCAAACCGATGGTCAAACGTAACTAGCCTGTTCATGTCCGCCGAGCTTAGTGGCCAGGTTTCGCCACGGTACACTAAGTTCGAACGTACCGCTGCATTGTACACTCTACCCTTCAGGACGGGAGTTATGTCGCGCCGCCGCTATAGGTGGCGTAGCAAAAGCACTTCATGCTTTTGCTATACGGTTCGGGATCTCATCTTCAATCCAACCGGCGCTGATCCAACTCCCCAGGTAGTTGAATTTCTGAACGACTTCTAGCTGCTCCCCACCAAGGATCAGGGCAGGAGGCGCTCCGTGACAATCTTGGAGGAACACTTCGCATTTCGGTGAAGCAAAGCAAAGCGCGAGCGGCTGACAGCAAGTGCTAACCTATCCAGCGCTGCTTGACACGTCTGGGAGTTGTCACATGAGGACAATGTCGTACGCATACTCTAAGTCAAGAAGTCGTTCACCTGGGAGCAGATCCACACCTTCGAATTCATGTCCTACAAATGCAGCCTCCATGACTTCGTCAATAACGATGTTGCAAAGGAAAGGTGACAGCGGGCATCCTTGTCTCACACCGTTGGAGATATTGAAGGTTGGCGACAGCTTGCCATAAGCCCTCACTCTGCGCGTGCTACGTGCGTATAGTGCTTGGAGAATATTTACATGTTTCTCGGGCGCACCTTTCCTGAGTAGACAATTCCAAAGGGCACATCGATCAAACGAATCGTAGCCACCTTTGATGTCGAGGAACACGACAACGGTGGGCCGCCAATATGTGTGACGGTG